AAGACAGAAAGACCAGAGATGTGGCTAGCCTGACTCATAGTACAAGCCTTCTGGTCAGGAACTGTGTGTCTTCTGTGCTCACCCCTCCCTTCTCATTTCCATCCCATAATGACCTGTGGGAGGAAACTGTAATGGAACCTTCTACTGCCAAATGCTTGGGGAAGGATCTGAAGAGTCTTCACTAAGGAGTAGAGTTCTGACAGGACACAAGGGTGGTGAACAATATAAGGAGCATGTGGAAGCCAAAGAAGCCAGCCTTCTCCTTCTACCCAGGAAACGCCAGCAGTGTGCAACATCTCCCTTCCCCCGTCCCCCTGCAGTGGTTTCCACTTTAGCTGTGAAGTTCTACAGTTCCATCTAGAGCTCTCCTTGTAAACCCTGTGAGAGTGAATTGAGAGCTAGCCAACCATCAATATTTCACCATTTAGCAAGAGGTGATTTAGCAACTGGGGCAAAGCAGTGACACAGAGGATACTCTGTGTCTTTTGTGAGGGCTTCCATTCTAGAGCTGAGGGAGCATAACAGCAGACAAATATGTGGTGTATGTGATGGTAGTCAGAAAACAGAAGATAAATTAGGAGATGGGGACAGAGCTGGCAAGTAGTTTGATATACCCAGAAAAGAGATGGCTTGACTAGGAAGAAAGCCAGATGATGGTACATTTGGAGACAAATATTACAGGCAGAGGAGGGAAGAGCTGCAAAAGTCTGCTGCAGGAAGCCAGCGTGCTCGGAGGGGAGATGGTGAGGAAAGCTAGGGCTTCTGGTTCAGGAGGTGAGGAACGTGTGGTAGCATTTGAAAGGCTTGTGTTTTGATTCACTAAGAGAGAAGTTTTCAGGGAGCTTCAAAAAGTGATCTTATTTATGCTATCTTGGTTCTATTTGTTTTGATTTGAGACATAATCTTACTATAAAATTTAGGCTGTCATTGAAGTTACAATCCTCTTGTCTCTGCTTTTCAATTTTCTGTGAATGGAATCATAGGGCATCATATCTAGCTATGGTGTCTATTTGGACAGCAGTGTAGTAATTTACTGTATAAGCCAGGGGCAGGACAGGATCAGGAAGACCAGGTAGGAATACTTTACATTACAGCGAAGTAATGAGATGTGACTGGAGTCAGGATATTTTTAAAGGAACTTCTGAGATGTCTTGCTGACCATCAATGTCATGATGAAGAGGAGGAAGGACACCATTGACATAAGTCAAGCACTTGACCTCACAGAGTAGCTTTGGTTATTCATGGCTGGTATTAGCAATTACTGTGTGCCTTGTAGTAACTAATCTCAGTCTTCCTTGCATTTGCTGCTCCATGTGGTCCTTGGCTGTTTGGCCTCTGCAGTTTTTCTATTCCTATCTCCGTGTTCTTCATTCATGCCCATTCCTCATAAGGTTAACTGACCTACCTATGTAAACACATAACATGTCATTTTTTTCTGATGACAAAGCCTTTGTTTGGAGACCCAAATGTGTTAAGGACCTTTGCTTTCTGGATTACAGATGTTGAGAAAAAAACAAAACAAAACAACCTTCCTTCATGAGACTAGTACTTGAACACATCTCTGAGTACCAGAGATGGCCATATATTGTAGAGAAAGGGTGTGCTGCCTTCTGACTTTCTCTATAATCCTGTACAGGGCAAGCCTCCAAATCTAGGCCTTTTTGACTGTCCTGAGTGACTTCAGCACACTGACTCTGTTCCTTTGACTTGTGTCCTTCCTCCTGCCTGGAAATTCTTGCCTTTTCCCTTATTTGTATAGAGTGTCCTTGTCCAGATCTTGCTCAGATGGCAAAACAACAGGCTCCTTGTGGCCCCAGTATATTTTTCTTCAGGTGAGCAACTCTTTAAAGAGATGTCCTGCACTGCCCAAATTTTCTAAGTCAGCAGCAACTATGCCCATGGCATACTCTTATTTTGTCAGCCTATTTGATTATGAATGATGCTTGTATTGTTTTTTGTTATGTTTGTTTTACAGTGAATGAAGTCTCAGTTTAGGCATCTTGAGAAGAGAGCTCACGACCTCTAACACCTAACATTGTGTCTTAAAGGTCTAAAGTTTACACAGAGATAAACACACTCAGTCTACCTTCATTAATCATCAATTCTACATTTGTGAAGTCACTTGCTATAATGTATGTGTAATCCCAATTCAACACTTATGACACAGCTTTTGTACCATATGCACTGTGTAGCAAGGAGCTCAAGTCATTTCATGCCTAGGCTTTGATCAGAAGTCAACGAAGAAATACTGTGCCTTCTTGATTTCTTTCTCATATTCAATAATAGCCATTTCATGCTCTACCTTCTTTTCTCTTTTTCTTTTTCATTTCCCTATTTCTCTCTGTTCCTATCTTTATAACCCACATGATCACTGTTCAAAATGTTGCCCACCCTCTGCCTCCTGACAACACTGTATCTTGACAACTTGCACTGTTCCAAGTAATTTCTCTGTTTAAGATGTTCTCAAACATAGTGATGAAGAGCTTCCTCCCCCAGCGTGGCTGAATGTGAGGCACATTACAGAGGAAACACATGTAGGGAGTGAGCTTCCTTCAGCTCTGATGCTTTTGGTTTGAATTCAGTGTTGATGAGGCAACATCACAGGGCATTAGAAAGAGAATAGAGACTTGCAATGCTGTCAGGAGGCAGAGGGAGGGCATCATTCTGAAAAGTGATCATGTGGGTGATAAAATTAGAAAGGAGAGGAAAGGGGGAAAATGAAAAAGAAAAGGAGAAAAGAAAGCAGGATTGCGAATATGAACCAAAGAAATTATACTCACTTAAACTATGATCAGAGATATTTTAAGCCTTTCCTGAACCACCCTTAGTTATAAATTAACCTGAGTTTTAACTAATAATTAATAAGAAATGTGTGTTATACAAGGTGTCACTAAATAGAAACTAACTCATAAAGAAGAATGATGGAAATTGTGTGCCCTGTGACACCCAGGAACAAACTCTTTATTCCTCTTGGAGAAATGGCTCAGCATTTGCTAAGTCAACATTTTCAGCAAGCTTACAGACTTATCTAAAATAACCCAATTAACCCTACGTGACATATTAGGCCAAATTAACATATATCTCTATATTTTTAATTCAACATGTAGTCTAAACTTTGAAACACACTTTTCTAAGATATATTTTTTCATGGGATGAAAATTGGCCTCTTGGCCTCCCTACCACCATCATCTTGGCGGTACTGACCACTGAGAGACTCCTAGACTTCATCCATCTTAAGACACTGAGTTTCTGTGGCCATAGCCACAGGGGTCTTTGAGCTGACCAAGCTCTCAAATAGCCAAAGAAAGCACAGATTTAACAGACAGCACAATATTAGATAGAGGTTAAATTTCTTTCTTCCCTAGAGCTATCCCTTCCTCCCTGCTGTGATTGATGGAGTGGTGCTGCCAAAGACACCAGAAGAGATCCTGGCTGAGAAGAGCTTCAACACTGTCCCCTACATAGTGGGCATCAACAAGCAAGAGTTTGGGTGGATCCTTCCAAAGGTGAGAATGCACAGATTACTTAGATACACTCCACAGAAGCTCAACCATCATCCTCCCTGTTCTGATCAAGGTTTTTCCACCCAAATGACTATCATTCAAAGAGGCTTAAAACTTTCCGTGTAAATTTGTTCTTAGAGTCCTTGATGAGTTCCCATTTCATATCAACCTCAGAAAGTCATCCAGTAATGGGGAAATAGGAGACAGCTAATTTAATAACAATCCCCTACATAGAAGGAACTCAGGGGGGAATCATAGGATCAAAGACATACAAACATAATGTTTGGTTTCATTTCCTCTTTTCATCTGAGTCTGAGAGTGTCAGGGGTGTGGGTTGTGTCCTCTGTCTCTGACCCTTTAGTTTCTATATGACCCTGTCCTGAATGATCGCCCACTGCCTTGAGGAACATTGTAGAATCTGATATGGTCAATACCTTTACTAAATGTCCTCTATGTGTTAGTTGCATTCATTTATATATGTGCATTGCTTTTGTTGACTTTTTCTCAAAAACTTAACTCCTATGCTTTTCGAGACCCGCCAACTCCACCACATTCCACTTTGCTTTGCTTGGTGGATCTTTGGTTCTTTTGACTTCTCCATGATTTACAACACTTAATCATTTATTTAACAGCTTAAGGGCTATCCACTCTCTGAAGGCAAAATGGACCAGAAGACAGCCAATTCCCTCTTGTGGAAGTCCTACCCAACACTTGTAAGACTCTGGGGAGTTGTGGGAATTGGTTAAGAAAGAAAGAAGGTTGGTGGTATTCTCTAATTGCAAACCAGTTTGATGGTGGAAAACCTATGGTTAAGCCTCTACATTTTTAATTTACCCATTTAAGCATCAAGGTGCATTGAACGCATATTTGTGTCTCCCATGTCAAAAATCAGTTGAGTTTTGGATACGTTTTAGAGGAAAAGACTTATTTTTAAAGTTAGCCAAACCAAAACCATGGAGACTGTCACAAACAAGCATCTAGCCACTGGATGCACTAGACTTCCTTATGGAGTTATTTGGATGCAAATCAGATAGGTAGACACCTGGTTACTTATCAATTTTACATTTTTGTTTTTATGACATGTGGCTTCTGTAATCTATAGGTTAATGATATTGTAAGCTTTGTAAATTTAAAGAAAAATCACTAAGTAGTAAATCATATGACCTATGTATTCCTTGCTTTCATTTTCCAAGAAAAGTTAATTCTGAACTTCATGGTGTGGATATAAATTATGTGTTGTCCCCAGAGAACATGCGAAAATAGCAATAAATTACTTTTCTCAAGAGGAGCAGGGGTAAGATTAAAAAAAAAAAAGCAAGCAATGTTCTTCTGTAGGAACAGCTGAAAACAATGTCCACTGAAGAAACGTTTTTGTAATATATGAGGTCTCTTCAGGCATGTTAGTCTCTTCCACTACAGCTAGTGACACAATAATAGTACACAGAATAGATACCTGAACCCAGGTAGCAATTAATTAAAATCAACAGTAAGAGAAAGTGAAGCCAAAGAGCTTAAGTGTTTATTCCAGTCTTCCATGGGCAAACCTTCCATGGAGGGTTTGGTAACCACTGAGATAGTTCAAAATTGATGAATCCTTCTTAACTGGCTGCAGAGGCCCCAACCCTCACGTAGCTAGTAACTTTCTGATTCATTTCAGAAAATCTCTGAGAATTTGATTCCAGTGGCCACTGAGAAGTATTTAGGAGGGACAGATGACCCTGCCAAAAAGAAAGACCTGTTCCAGGACTTGATTGCAGATGTGATGTTTGGTGTCCCATCAGTGATGGTGTCTCGAAGCCACAGAGGTAAGTTTCAGGTGTCAGACAAGAGATGAATTCAATTTCAACTTCTAGGTCTCTGTCCTGTCTACCTCTTGGCATAGGTAGATATGAAAGCTATTGAGATCAGGTCTCAAATGTTGATTCCATATAGCCAGCAGTGCTGTTCTGCCTTTCCTGCTAGGAAAGATCTCTGAGGGAAAGGTCCACATACAGCTTAATTTAGTAGATACTGCTAGAAAACCCCATTGGGAGGTAAGATGATGTAGAGAAAATACAGATTTTAACCTGTGGAGCTGCTCAGCATGTGTCCTTCTTACCTGGACCTGGGGAGCTCTACAGAACAAGGTGAAGGAGTATCTTAGGCTCCTTTTCTGGAAAGGCAAAAGAGGTGTGTGCTTACCCACCGGGAACCATTTCTCACAGGTGCCATGATGTGGTTATCTAGGTCAAAAGACAAGGAGTTGCTTCTCTCCTTCTGTCTTTGCCTGGGTTCTGGAGGTTGAGCTCAGATCATCTCATCTGTGCTTCAGGCATCATTACCTGCTGAGCTGTCCTGACATTCCCTCTCTGATTTATACTGTAGGGTCTTAGAGCTAAAGAACTTTTCTTTTACTTTATCTTTTATTTTTTCTTCACTTTATCAAGAAGGCTTTGGTATATTGTATTCCCATTCTATTTAGTCTAGGATTTTTTTATTTAACTCCTTGACTTCTTCAATGATGCATTTGTCATTGAATAGTATGTTACTTAGGCTCTGTGAGTTTGAGCATTTCTATAGTTTTTCTTGCTGTTGATTCCTAACTTTATTTTGTTGTCAAACGAAATACAAGGAGCCTTTTGATTTTCTTATGTATATGAATACTTGACTTGTGTCCCAAACAATGAACTACTTTAGGAAAGTTCCATGAGAGTGTTTTTTCCTGAAGTGTTTGGGTGAGTCACCTCTAGGTATCTAATTGGTCTATTTATGTTTTCATTTGACTGTATTGCATCTCGGTTTCATTTTCTTTCATCTAGAGGACTTGTCCATGGGTGAGAATGAGGCATTGTTATTACCTGCTGTGTTACGTTTAATAGGTAGCTAATACATACCTAGTAGAATTTGCTTTAGAAATTGTGTACACATTTTTTGGCACAATGTTTAGAATTGAAATGTCCTTTTGTTAGATTGTTCCCCTGATCAGTATGAAGTGATCTTCTTTGTCTCCTCTGACTTCTTTTGGTTTGAAGTCTATTTTGTCTAAAATCAGAATAGCTAGACCCTTTGTTTTCCTGGTTTCAGTTACTTAAAACATTTTTCTCAATACGCTTTAACACTGGAGTGATGTCTTTGTTGATAGGAGGTGTGTTTTCCTGGAGACAAAAAAAAAAAAAAAAAAAGATGGATCCTGTCTTCTTACAGAAGCTGCTAATTGATATTTTTTTGTTTGGATAATAAGGAGCTTCGATGTTATTTTCTAAGGTGTGTTGTATATTGATGCCTCTCATCGCTGTTTCTGTGGTAGTGTTTTGCTTCCTGTTTGCTGACTGCACTACTATCATTTTTTGTTCCAATGGTCCCTTCAAGATGTTCTTCCTACTCTTCAGTCTAAAGCACTCCTGAATGTACCCTTTGAAGAGGTATCCCAGTGCTCATTAATTCCATTAGCCTGCTTCTGGAATGCAAAATTTTGGATTTCCCTTCAAGTATAACAGATATTTTATTGAGTTTGCAGCTGTTGTCTTTCAGAACCGGATATCCATCTTTCTGATCTTTCCTGGATTGAACAGATTCTGTTAAATAATTAACTCTAAATCCAAATGGCCTTCCTTTATATGTCTTGACATTCTCTCTTACATGATCCAATATCATTTTTCTTCTTCTTTTTTTTTTTTGCACTTCAATTATAATATGACAGAGAGAGTTCTTTTATTTTCCGATATTTGGTAGATCCTTATCTTCTATTTGGTGGAACTCTTGTATGTTGATAGACACGTCTTTAGATTTTGGGGTATTTTCTCCTATGTGTTTATTGACAATATTTTCTGTGCTTTGTGCTTGGAAATCTCCTTATATGCTCATTATTTACATATCTGGTCTTCTCTTGAAGCCCTGGGGCTCTCAAGTTTCCATCTCTCCATGCTTTGGGTCTGTTTATGGGGTTTAAAAAAAATGGTATCATTAAACTTAACTGACTGCTCTGATTCCTCTAGCTTTTCTTCAAGTCCTGATACTTTGTCCTCCTCATGATCTGGTCTATTAATGCAGTTTCCCACTGAGCTTTAACTTGTTGCAATGAGTTACCACTTCCAGTATCACTTTAGCCTTCCTATTGGAAACCACTATTCCTGATACTTGTGTCTCCATTTGGATTCAGATGATGTATCTGGGTACTGGTTGGAGAAAGTTATGTCTTACAGATTGTGTAATGGTGTTCCATTATTAATTAGTGAAATAAAGAAGGAGTGGTGAATATGGAAAGTGGGTAGACATAAGTCAGAGGGATGTATAAGTGATAAAAATATTGGTGGTAAAAGGATGACTGTAGTGTGTAAGGAAGTGAAGAGTAGAAGGTTTCCCAGGGTACAGAAAGCTGAGGGACAGCCTCAGAAGGTCTATTCTGGTAAGGCAGAAGGTACAATATAGTGTACCTTCTGAATGAATGTAAAATGAATGTAAGAGATTGCAAATAATTATATGAAAGTTCAATTATGAAAAGAACTAATCTTTCTGAAATGTCATTAAAAATAAATAAAACAAAGCAAAACCAACAATAAAGAAGTCACGTACTGATAGTGAAATCCTGTCTTCAAAAACAAAACAAGGAGAGGCAGAGATGTAGGAGGATGGAAAGCCACGCGGGTATGGAGAGCAGTGCGGGACTCTGGGGGGATAACTCAGGAGACGAAATACTTGCCCTCAAAAATGGAAAGACTTGAATTTGGATCTCCACCAACCAGAAATCTTCCAGTGTACCCTAAACCACAATTGGTGTTGGCAGCAGGCTTCTAAACCCAATGACAAAATTCATCTTGCACTCAGTGTTAGTGCCTGGAGCAACACTGCTGGTGTTCGCATTTGAACCTCCACTTCAAAAATCTGGCTTTGATCTTCAGCAGCAAACTCAACATGAAGACCACAGCCCTATTCTCAGGGGAAAGTACTCAAGCATTAGCTTCCAGGCTGGTGTCTAAGGAAGAACGGAGCTGTAGGACCCCATACCCTGGCTTTTCGGTGGTTCCACTGTGGTTAATTTCTTTCCATGACTTTAGAGAGTTTTGGTGAACACAGCAACAAGGACTCCACTCACCGAAATCATTTGGGGAACTTGGACTTAATTCTTACACAAAAGAGCCTGGTGCTGTTAGTTCTGGCTGACTCTGCTTGTGAGTCATGGGCCATTTCAAGCACCTGACTGAATTCGGATAGCATGAAGCTAGCTGGCTGGGTGTGAACCAATGGAGTGGTTCCCTGCAGAGACAGGCGTTGGGAGAGGGACGTGGGGCAGGAGCGCACACAGCTAAGGGCACCACGCAGATCTCTTCTCAGCCAGTGCTCCCTGAGCCCCTGCAGCTGGGCTTGGCAGGCTCCTTCCAGCTATGAATCACGCATTTGATAACAGCCAAGACATGGGCCAGCTGCTGGGCTCTGGCTTATCACCCCACAGTCCCTTTTGTTTCAGTTCTGAAAAGGCAAAAGCCCACTGGGGACAGCATTGGAATGACAAAAGCCAAGAGCAATGTTCAGGGGAGATGGAGGCCTTGTGTCCTTTTGGTAGGCTAACCATTCCTTAGCAATGCCCAGCTCATAAGTGCTCCTACAAAGGAGCTTTATACTGGGGCGCAGGCTGGGGAGTATTGCTCTGCTGGGGGGTATTGTCACATTCCAGGACACAGGCCCTGTGAGGTCTGGAATTTCTCTTTTGTGGATAGTTCTCTGAAAGGGGTAAAAAAAAAAGAAGGTGGCAGAGAGACAATATTCTGAATGTGTTTCTGCCAAGAGCATGCGGGAGCCCTGGGAAAGAATGCTACACGACAGGGCCCTGTGTGGTGTCTGTGTGTCTGTAAGTGGACACCACTCCCTTTGGTGACCAGAAAATGGTCTGACATTCACGTGGTTAGTCTGGCTTTCACTCAAGTACCCCTGTGGTCTGTGGACCCAAACAGGAATTCATTAATACGGGTGACCTGCTACCGTTGCAGAAGAGGTTTTACTGTGGTGTCTGATGTAAATACTGCAAAATTATGAATGGCATAATAATAGCCTCTTTGTTTACCTGCCTTCTCTGCTCCAGAAGACTTAACTGAGTCTTGGTATTTGAAAAAGCATTCTACCTTCTTACAACATTTCTCTGCTTCGTGGAGAAATCTGGACAGGTAAGGTTAACAGAAAATTAATGTTTACAAAGGTTACATGGATGAAGAAGGGTGCATTCAAACCTTGAGTCGGGCTGGTTGTCTGCCTTGCACTCTCTGCTAAGCTAAGTGCCAGTGCACCATGTATGTGATTAAGCGTTTACTGGTAGAGAAAAAAAAAGTCAGGTATTGGAATTATACATAAAACAAATATATATGTGCACACATAATCATGCACATAACCTGAAGACTAGTCCAAATTCTTCCCTCAGTGTTAGGGTGGAGGAGGTTTTCTCCCACTACTACAAATGTTCTTTATATCAGCTTCTTCAGTAGAACAGACACACATGGGAGGCTTTAAAGATCAGTGAAATAAAGCTGTGTGTCCTTTGTATACTGAGAGAGCACTGAGTTCTGTGGCTCTGTGCTCCTTTGTAACTAGGTTCTGGTCCAGGCTCCCCCACCCCACTGGGCAAAGCCTGCCCCACTGACTCAACACTGAGTTGGCCTATGTGTCACTCTCATGCTTTCCCTGAACCATTTGCAGTCTGATCCTGGGAGTCTTCTTTAGAGGAATGTCTGGTAGGGCCCCTTACTCTTTCATTTTGTTTGTTTTATTGGTTAATTTTTGTTTACATACATTTCTAACTTTTGTATTTTTTTCTACAAGCATACACGTAGGTGCATACATGCCATGCACTTAGAGGTAGAAGGACAACTTATGATAGTTGGTGATCTCCTCTTCTTGGAATTGAAGACAGAGCATCTGATTTGACAGAAAACAGCTTTACCTGCAGAATCGTCTAGTCTTCCCTTATGTATATTTTTAAATAGACACACACCACATGTGCAGGTTACAAGCACATCCCCACCCCATGGATTGTCTCTATGCATAGCTAGTAGGTTTTGTTGGTGCGAAAACTCTTAGACTTGCTGACATCCCATTTGTTTCTGTTGCATATCGGAACTTAGAGCAAAGTGGCATACTTCTTCCTCATGATCCATCTTGCATTTGCTTTCACAGCACCTTAGTTTCTCTAAATTTATTTGTTTTTGAAATTACATATGTAAGATCTATGTTTGCATTTTCCCCTGTCTTCTTCCCTTTCTTCTCTCCCAATTTCTCTCTTCCCCCCACTGAATCCTCTAGACAGGTAGATTATAGTTCTTCTATATGCCTGTACATGTATGGCATTCAGCTACATTCTGTAAACTCAGGAGATCAGGATTCCTTAGCCCTAAATACTGGCTAGTGTTACAGGTCCTGACCCAGGAGTTGAGTCACTTGTCAATCAAGACTTGTCAATAATTTGGCATGCTCTTCTCTAGCCCCTGCCCCTTTCATGTCGCCCCAGCTCTTGCCTTCATGAATTCTGAAAATCTTCTTCCCACACTGACTGTTCTGAAGCTGTTGAGCCATGTCCACTTTTGCATCTCAGCTGTCTCTGCAGCTGATGTTCTCTTCCATCTTCAGTTGTTCCTGTCTTGCTGTCTAGGGCACTTCCTTCTTTATGTGACCAGCTCTGCCCACAGACTGACTAGGCACAGACTGAAGAACTTTTTAGTTGTACCTAATGTTTCACGACCAGGGGCATCACTGGAAAGTCTATCCCAGCTGACTCGAGTATACTGTGCACTGTGTTTCCCTTCAGGGCCTCTATTATTTGTTTTATTTATCTAATGTCTCTGATATGTCTGTTTTTACAATTGTGTGTTGTGAGTGTGTTTGCCATTGGTGTGTTGTGAGTGATTTGACCCTGTCACTGATGCTCTAAATCTAATTCTGTTCACGCCCTTCCCCAAGGAAGTTCTCATTCTGTAACCCAAACTACTCTAAAACTTACCACTACTTGTACTACTAGCACTACTAGTACTGGGATTACAAGTGTGAGTTAGCAGGCCCAGATTCTTGCACTGTTTGATCTCAACTTTCTGTCTGATATGATGGCAGTTACCATTTTTGTCTATTTTTTTCTTTGTATGTAATACCTATTTTCATTGATTTATTTCTAATCTATGTACCTCTTTAAAGGTAAGGGGGTTTGTGAGAACCTGTGCTTGGGCTGTTTAAACATGCTTGCTGACAGTCTTTTGTATCTCAGAAGATAACGTTTGATAGCAAGCACTTACAAGTACTGTTTTGGAATTGTTTGGCTGTTTTGTGGACATGTCCCTCCTTTCTTGGTGACTTCCCTTGGGGCTTTCTGCTGCTATGTAAGAGCATGTCTTGAATGTTTTCTATATTTGTTTTCTATTTCTACTGAATGGTTGTGGTTCCTGTCTACCCTTAGGCTTTTGTGTAACCTCTCTCATTAGATTATATTAGGCTAGTAATATTGTAACATTGATTCTGGGTAAGAACTCTCTATTTTTGCCTCTGAAAACACACACGAGCATGCACGCACGTGCGCGCGCACACACACACACACACACACACACACTTTTCATGTGCTTGATATCAGAATTTGCATCATTTGGGTAGCAGTTTATTGTAAATCTAGTATGTTGATGATCTATCCAGGTATAAACCTCAGCAAGAATTTTCTGCTGACCCTTTATGATGTGAAAGATAAAATATTGTCTCTATCACCACTAGATTCCTAGTGTGTCCTGCCTACGGCTCTCTTTACCCATATGGCTTTGATGTCTCATGCTATTTATTGCTATCTTGGATCTTTAGTTTAAGAGACTGCTTTAGCCATTCCTGCTAGGTATGTCCAAAAGCAGTGAGATACACAGCTTCTGAATAAGAGAACTGCTATGTCTCCCTCACTTCTGAGGACTCCTGGCTTGAG